TTTTAGCAATTTCTCAAAGGCATCTGTAAATGTTTTCCTGCATTTCCAAAACCTGAAACAATCGCTACACACTAGATTCGACGAAAGTTAGCTGTAGCGTTCATTGAGTTCTCATTTCACATGGGAATAAGAGAGAAGCAGAGAAGGAAATCCAGAGCTGTCGTAGTATGCTCACAAGGGAAATTCGTTCATTCGCCATCAGGGTGCCCGAAGCTTCGGTTAGGAGAAAACCAGAAAGATGAGGCGACCGGAAGTAGCACCAGAAGAAAAATTTTATCACGGATAAGTTGGCCTTGCAAGACAGAAACACTTAATTACTCAGAAAACGTCGTTATATTCATTATTAGGGAAACATTATTAAATACGGTACTCGCCGTAAAAACTGCAAAATTCACGTGAAAAACGCGAATTGCGTTTTTTTTTACGTTTTTCCGTTATAACTCGCTTCAAAATTAAGATGAGTTTTTCAAAATCCGAAAAATTGAGTTCAGCTCGTCGAGTTCTATAAGAATCCTCCTTGATCTTCTAAGGCACCATCTTGGATTGCGCCATGCACTCGATTTTCATCTCAAAAGTAGTTGCTCGCATGTGATGTGTATATAATCCCGCTTATGCGGGCTGACCGCTACACACAAAGAAGGGCCTCAAAACTTACCCCAGAATGCGCCACGTACTCAATCTCATCCACTACATTGTGAGATTAGATGAATGTTATTTTCCGAATTCCTGAGATCTTTATTTCGTTTTAAAGCGCTAACTTGGCTGACGTGTTCTCTCTGCGCTCAATATCCCATCCATTCCTCTCTATTTCAACTGAAAATCTTTTGAACAGTTTTCAGCAGGCATAGTGGGCCTATTATGTGACATTTTCCATTTTCAGAGGAGATGTTTTGCAGAAAGCTGTGAAGATAGCGAACAATTTCCTTCACTGTCGTAGACTACGGTCACTTGTCTGTAGGAATTATATGGAAACCTTGGTCGCAGGTGAGCGTGCGAGTTTTTGAGCTTTCAGCAATAATAACTTCCTTCAAAGAGCTTGTTGGGGAGGGACGAAGACATTTTTGAAGACTACGAGATTTCGCTTTCTTATGTGTTTTACAGTTCTCTGGAAGAAGCGTCCCAAAAAAGGTCTTTGAAGAACTTTATTTTCAGCCCCGAGAAGTCAAACCTTTCATAAGGATGCATTCAACACTTCTTTACTGCGTAGGAAAACACCGTAATTTGCCTAAAACTGCCTCTCTGTGCATAATAAATCAGAATCTAATGCGGTCTGCACAAGCAATTCTTGCCCTCGGATACGCCACGCACGCGCCTGTGGCTGGCAGCCCTCGAAATTGCGACCCCTTCCGACCAAACCAACCGTCCCGTTCAACGTATCGTTCGACCAGAGCCAGTTCGACGACCGGCTTGCGTCCTGCGCGCCGGAGCTCGAATCAAGTTAACGCGTCGCTATGGACGTTTGCAGCGAGCAGTTTCAGAAACCTGGCAGAACCCAAGAGAAATGGGACCCCTTCCTTGCCCGTTGATTTGCGCATTGATGCGACTCTCATCGCTGTGCCCTCTTCAACACTACGCTCTCTCTGCTATCTAATCACTCGCCACGTATAGACCTGCGGCGAGTGATTAGATAGTCGGTGGGCGTACCCGCCAACCGCGCCAAGTGAGCCATGCTAGGTCGCCGAGGTCAAATCTTTCGGTGCCAATTGCGCGTCAGTCCGCACCCTTAGGAGGTCCGCGGGTCCCTCAACTAGGTGAATTACTCCCTTCGACCTTCATTCTAATCGTGAATTCCTTTTATTTTATGTTGACCAAGATGATAACTTTATTTAGGGACCATACACAAGCGCTGCGGCAACTGGATGCATGAAAAGAAGATGAAGCAATTAACCGAATTTCACCTGGCATCTCTACGTTTCCTACGTTTTTGAGTTACAGGATACCTGCAAACAGTGAAGGTGGGGTATGGGTACAACCCAGGATGTTACCTCTCAGGTAGTCTGGTACCTACTGACAGGAAAGGTTAAGATGTTACTTTTCGTTGGCCTGGGCAGATAAATTCAAGAAGCAGGAATTATTTCCATGACGCCACCTCCCATACATCTCTGCACTGTGGGAATCGTACCTAACAACAATATCACGGTGTTAATGTAGGCCTGAGGTGTCATTATGTTCACAATGATCATGATTCTAGTCTCTCTTACAGACTTACGCCCGCTCAATTTTTCCATAGCGAAAGCTTATTCATCGTCTTTCCCTGAGGTAGAAGTACAATATAATGCAAAAAGTGATCAATTCTCCCACAATTGGGTATTTGCTCTCTTTCCCAATACGACAACGACACTTGTAGGGGTGTCCCAGGGTAGAAATATCTCTCGAATACTTGGTCTCCACTCTCCGGTCATCAGCAACGAGAAAAGGTGGGAACAGCGATCGGAAATTTCGAGCTGCACCTGGTAGTCCTTCGTGTCACGAATGAAATAGTTTAAGAAAATGTCGTCGACGCAAAACTAAATTGCTAATACTGAGATTTCAACAGTGAAATTAATAGTGCTACGGTGTTGGGTTAGTGTGAATTTATGTGGGATTGCCTAGAATGATTCATCTTTATCCTGCGTGGAAAAGAAAAGAAAAAATTGAATGGTGCATAATTTGTGCCGCAAAAGTTGGAATATTTGTATTCGACGTTCTAGCGCGGAGGCAGGAACCCACTGAAATGCAACAGCTGAAACATGTTGTCAGACTAGACACAACATGAGTACTTACGACGTATCAAATGTGCAGCGCAGTTCTATGTGGTGTTCGCCGGAGGGATTCATTGTTGTCAAGAAAACGCCGCATCCGACTTCCTTAGCAAAGGGGTTGGTTATCTGAAATAGGAATCTTTTCAACAATTCCGCCTCATGCATTCTACTCTTGATTGTGCTTCGGGGCAACGTTAGGCACCATGTCACCTACCTTTGGGTATTCAACCCTGTTTATCAAGGAGGGCAAGGATTCAAGCCAATTTTTGAATTTGCTGAAAAACCGTATCTAGATGAGTGCATCAACGATGTTGGCCAAGCAAACGTTGGAAAGAAACTTCCAATACATTCAACTGCTTGATGTGAAAAATTCACCCTCCGATTCTGAAGGTGTTATGCTTTATATTCGCAAACCATTCTGCGGTATAAGCTTCTCCTGCGAGGTTGCAGTTGTACTTCTGTAATGGGATCACTTATTTCAGGAACATGTCAAAGTTCATGTAGTGAATTTAGCCGTTGCGCTACACTCCTCTGATATGTTATGGGCGATGCAGGTTGTCCCATATGGAGGAAGAGAAAGAAATCTCAGCCGTGTGTTGTGATCATAATGAAATATCTACTATTTGACTATGTGTGAATGCAATTGAAAACGAAGTGCTAGCGTTCTGTGGCTCCCCAGAAAGTTTGTGCTCGAAGCCTAGATTCGAGACAAGATCACTTCTGAAAAGTTAGCACTATTTTGTGACTCATGAATGAAAAAGACAAGTCTACCTTAGTACTGCATAAGCTCAGATCACGTACCAGCTTTTTTAGGCCTACAGATAAGCGTTGGCGTTTTTCATTCAAGGTCCCGAAGGAGCAATTCTTGATGTCTTGGGAGAATGTTTCCGTCACAATTATAGGCTAAAAAGCAGGGAAGATGCAAATCAACAGCATTGCAAAGTCTTAAGGATTAAGGAAAGCAAACCTTGGGTGAGTCCTTCGATAGCCAGAAGGGCGTAGCCAATCTGGAACAAACAAATAAGCGGAGATTGAACGAAATCGTCTTCATTTTAGCCTTGAGACGGAAAAGTTCGTGGAAATATTGTGTTATGCGGTAATTTTTGTGACGTTTTCAATTTTCTGATGCCCTGCTCTCTGTTAACACATCGAGCTGCTTACACTAGACATCCGACGTTTACTTCCATCTGCCAGCAGGTAATAATGGATCTCCAAAAAAAGCAGTATAATCTTCCGCTGATGCAATTCTGGTTTAGGTTCTGAGCTCTACACACCGGTCCCTAGCGATCGGCATATAGCGCCGTGACTTATGCTTACCACGTATTCTCCTTCACTGTGGAAGCAGAC